TCTCTCTAAAATACTTCTTCTTGTTTTTTGACTTGCTACAAATGAAAAACTACATAGACTATTTATAGGATTTTCCTAGTATGTATCTAAACAAATACATGAACACATAATTAATAATATTCTTCCTCCATAGCATTATACATGAATTTCTCCAAAAGACACATTCATGTATTCTTCCACATTCATGAATTATAAAACCTTCAATACTTTGAACTTGATTAATGAATCTAGCTTATTCATTTCCAACAGTTTGGCCAGCTGGACGTCGATGTCAGAGGAAAGATAGTCGTGTGCGATAACGGCACTCCAACCACGAGAATCGCGAAAGGAGTAGGGATCAAGAATGCCGGTGGCGCCGCTATGATTCTAGTGAATACGGAAACTCAAAGGGACACCACTTCTGATGATGTACACGCTCTTCGGGCGATGCAAATCGGTTACGCGTATGGATTGAAAATAAAAGCATACGTAAACTCAACTTTGAATCGCACAGCCACAATTGTTGTTTAAAGGAACTCTTATCGGTGGCGGACCAGCTCCGGTATTAGCTGCATTTTCTTCGAGGGGTCCTAGTACAGCGACCCCGGGAATTCTGAAGCCCGATATTATTGGTCCTGGAGATAACATTCTTGCTGCTTGGCCTTTTTCTCTCGAAAATAAAACTGACACAAAGTCAACATTCAACATAATATCGGGTACATCAATGTCGTGCCCGCATCTCAGTGGGGTCGCAGCACTGCTCAAAAGCATGCATCCTGATTGGTCGATAGCAGCAATAAAGTCCGGTATTATGACCACCGCATATCAAGTGAACCTCAAAGGCAATCCGATCAAGAATGAACAATTGCAGCCCGCTACTGTGTTTGATTATATATATTTCTTAATTTCCTGATGATTATATATATTTCTTATTTGTGTGGTTTGAGTTACACGAATCAACACGTCGGCATCATCCTTGGATGTAAGGTGGATTGCGCGAAAGAGAAGAGCATTCTTGAGGCACAATTAAATTATCCATCATTTTCGATAATATTTGGATCGACTCCTCAAAATTATACGAGAACATTGACCAACGTTGGCAAGGATAATTTGTCGTACGATGTTGAGATTGTTTTGCCGGACGGTGTTAATGTGAAAGTGGAACCGAATAAACTCGTGTTTCCGAAGTTGGGCGATAAATCGAGCTACAATATGACGTTCACCAGAACAACCAAAGGGGCGATGAATAGTACTCCACAAGGATTTAGCTGGTTGAGACATGAACTATATTCTCTTTTCTTGAGACGAATTTCATGATTCCTTTATCTATGTTTATAGAGCAAATATTGATCGTGTCGTGTATGCGTTAAAATTGTCCACCATCAAATAGTATCTTCTCCGAAATACAACATTATTTAGTGAAGTAAAAGCTACACCACGAACCCATCGAGAGCCCTTTTATGCAGGTTGGATATTTTTGTTGGAAATGAATAAGCTAGATTCATTAATCAAGTTCAAAGTATTAAAGGTTCTATAATTCATGAATGTGGAAGAATACATGAATGTGTCTTTTGGAGAGATTCATGTATAATGCTATGGAGGAAGAATATTATTAATTATGTGTTAATGTATTTGTTTAGATACATGCTAGGAAAATCGTATAAATAGTCTATGTAGTTTTTCATTTGGAGCAAGTCAAAAAACAAGAAGTATTCTAGAGATAATCAAAAGAGAGTTCTTGAGTGAGTTTATATATTCGTGTTGATTGAATGAGTAATATTTTTTATCTCCTCTCCATTACTCCTCCTCTCTACTACTCCTCCTCTCTACTTTAAGTTATTTCGCTGTGTGTTATCGATCTATATTATTAAACCGATCCAACAATCTTGGAGGTTACAAACAAAAATAGTTCACGATAAATGGTTGATTACTTTCAAAACCATCGGGTTTCAGGATTCGATTTCAGTTTTGGTTTCGGTTTCAAGATAAATGTATTTTGATGACCTCGAACACATAGTCAAAATGAGAAATAAATTCTATTTGAACAGTCACTAGTAATGGTATTTGATTAAAACACATAACACTTGGTAGGCTAAAATAACTCTAAGGTCCTTGTAGTATCGGTAATTAAAATTACCCCTGAAACATTGTTAGAAACTGTAACGGAATAATGCATTGGATAACTTATTCCATTAGGATTCTAACGGACTATTAGTTTCAGAAAGTGGTGGAGACAACATAGAGCTAGGGGAACATGGTTATATAATTTTCATCTATGGTAGCATTAATAGTCCCGCGGACATGAAATCTTGGTCCCGGTAATTGTTTCAAAGGCATGGGTGTAATTACCAATACAACAAGAACCTTAAAGTTATTTTAGCCTACCTCAAGGTAGACACGGCCCCGGCATGGGTGTAATTACCAATACAACAAGAACCTTAAAGTTATTTTAGCCTAACTCAAGATAGACACGGCCCCGGGGCGGGTCGAGTCCGGGTCCGAGTATTAGAGGACCCGAAACCAACCCGCGGGGAGGCAGGTCCGGGTCCGAGACGGGTCCACTCGGGTCCGGACCGGATTTTTAAACTTTGTCCAAAGAGAGGCGGGTCCGGGTCTGAGACGGGTCCACTCGGGTCCGAACCGGATTTTTAAACTTTGTCCAAAATATGGGTTGAATGGGGTTCCAACTCTGGTTCCCTCAAATGTGTATGCCAATCCAAGCCAGTGAGACAAAGCAATTGTTTGTGAAATTACTTGGAAGAAATATATATAAGAACAAAAAAATAGTGTAAAATGATTATAAAAATAATGTTTAATGGATTATTAATTATCATATTCATAATTATTAAAGAATTTTAATTAAATTATTAACAAAAATATAATATAATAAAAAAATTAAAATAAACTGAAAGAACTTGAGCATAATCAATTTAAATCTTACGATTCAATTCTAATATTTGAATAAAATGTATATGTAAAAAAACGATTAAATCATATGATCTACAATTTAATTCTTACGATTTTAATAAATTAAACCAATTATTAAAAGAGAAATTACATCATGATACTTTGAATATACTAGTCATATATAATATTATTTTTAAAGTAAGAAAATTAATTGAATTGAGATATAATCTATTTTTCTTAAAATAAACATCATTTATATTTTTAAATAATTATCTTGTGATAAAATACTCAATAATATTAATAAGTTCTTGTCAACAGTTGAGGTTAATCGATTTAAATTCATTGAAATGAGTTATAATCTATTTTTTTTAAATAAACATCTTATTTTATTTTTCATTCGATTTTTTCACATTATCGATTTTAATAACAAAAGTGAGTTTGTATTAAGTCTACGCATTTGTTTAAATATTGAATTGATTCAATCCTATATATTTTTCAATAGTGGAGATTATATTGATATAGTAATTAATAATGGATGTTTTGAAGTATTGAACCGTGATTATATATATATATATATTTAGAGTTTGCATTTGCTAATAATTTAATTAAACTTATTTACTAATAATTAATATGAAAATTAATAATTTCTTTAACATATTTATATGCCAATTAAATCATTTTACCGGCATTTTATAGGATATATATGTTTATTGCCTATATATTTTCAAATGTTGCGTTTTGGCCTAGTGGAAAGATATGCCCATTCTTTTCAATTTGCCCTGAGATCAAAACCCATCTGACCCATTTTTGGATATCAAAGTTGCGACTCGGGTCTTGAAACTGGTGACCCGAAACCGGTCCGTAAAGTTGCAACTCGGGTCTTGAAACTGGTGACTTGAAACCGATCCGTGTATGGGCGGGGCCGGGGCGGGTCGGTAACAAAAGCTAGGCTTAATTCCACTTTGCACCAACTAATGAAATATACTATTTTGGCACTTTACATTCTTGAAGTAAATTAATAGCACTTTGCACCCTCGGAACATAATATATCATGCATAATTCACCCCACATGAGTTTTTTAAGCTAATAAAGGTAATTAATATTTTTAGTATTTTAAAACTTATATTTTTTTATCACAAAAACATATCTTAGAACCAGAATAGATATAAATAGGCTTATTCTTTGTTCACTTGAAGGTAATTAATATTTTTAGTTTTTTAAAAATCATATTTTTTATCACAAAAACATATCTTAGAACCAAAATAGAAATAAATAGGCTTATTCTTTGTTCCTTGAATCACCAACATTTATCAAATTTGAAAAAAGTCAGAAGAGATGTCTTTGTTCCAACCACCATGTAACCCCGCTATACAGAATTAAAAAGATTTTCAGCTTTGGGCTATTGAGGATGTGATTGACGACTTACCCATTTAGTGACTTTGGCACCGGACGTTCCTAAAACGGGTACTATTAAAAGGCTTGTTCAGGAAGACCATTTAATTCTTCGGAAATGATCAATTGAAAGTCGTATGCTTTGGAAGAAGCTTGTACAGTTTGGGAAGGGGTTTTTATTGATAAAAAAGAGTGAAGCTCCTATTCTGAGATTTTGACATTCGCCTTTTGATACGAAAAAAAATTCTCCAGCTATTTTGTTATCAACTTATATGAAAATCATATTTTCTTCAAAATATTTCTACACAAGATTTTCACCAATTACAATAAAAAATCTATCAATCGAATAATTTAGTGCTAAAAGTTTATTTGATTTTATTTTGTAAGACAATATATTTTTTTCAATTATCCGGTGTGATTTTTATTCTTTCACACTTTGTTCGCCGAAATTAGGTCGGAGGTTGAATAAAATAATGTAATTTGTTATTTGCACCCCAAAAAAAAAATGAATTATCCTTTATGATTCAATTAAGGGTGCGTTGTGCATGATTTATTATGTTTTGAGGGTGCAAAGTGCGATTATTATTTTTCAAGGGTGCAAAGTGTCAAAAGGCTCCATTTCAAACATTTAAGTTTTCCCAACATAGTGGACCAAAATCAAATTTTTGAAAGTAATAAACCCGTTTTGCCAATATTTGGCTGCGATTAAAACCCCAATTTGCAACCATATACAAATCTAAACAAGACGGGTTGAGAGAAGAGAAATTTGGAGATGGCGAATTCAGCTATTCCTACAATAGGCAGCGACGCCAAGGAAATCATCACGCAGAGGTTATCTCTCATCGACGACTTGTACTTTCCTCGCAAGGTACAACCCTCCGCTGCAACTGATTCCGCTCACCGGAAGTCCCTACTCGCCGACCTCCTTTCTACCGACGCCGCCGTCTTTTTGGGTAGTTTTTTTTTTTTCCAATCACTCCAAATATCATTTATTTATTTATTTATTTATTTATTTATTTATTTATTTATTTTTGTGAAGTTTCTGCTTCTATGTTGGTCATTACGTTCGGGGTTTAGATATGCCTGCCAGGTGTTTGTAAAAATGTCCCACTGGCGTTAAAGTTGTCTATCTTAGAGAACTTTTAGATGTTTTTTGTATATTTTATTTTGTTTGTGGTACTTATCTTTGAATTGTTGCTCGTAGAGCGTTACGGGTCGAGATTATCGGTGGAGGAGCTGAGTCATTTCGACGTGTTGAGAGGCGATTACGAAATCAACTGGCATTTAAATCACCTCCGGAGCATTATCGATCCAACTGTCGAGGATAAAAAATCTAGGTCGATGAAAATCAAGAATCGGAGGCTGGCGTATATGGATAAGCTAATGGTGGAAGGGCATTATTTTTCGGAAGATGCAATGAGGGAAAGAGAGCCGTATTTGCACCATGAGTATGTGGGGAAATTTCAAGATCCGTATGGGAGGGGTATGGCAAGGCCCGGAGAACGGTGGTCGGAGACACTTATGAGACGTTCTGAAGAAGCAATCTTGGTTGAGAAGATCCGATCGGAGCAACAAATGCTGGGAGAGGAAGAAGAAGAGGAAGAGCAAGAAGAAGAAGAAGAAGACGAAGAAAGTGAAACAGAAGTTGCAATGGAGAAGGAGACAAATCTTGAGGTAAAATATGTGTTTTTTGTTTTTGGGCTGACTGATTTATATCTGAAATTGGTATGTGCCTTAGGTTATACAGTACAACAACAATGTTAGGTACAGTACTGAAATCTGTTCCTATGTTAATATGGTCTGCTCCCCCATTAATTTGCTTGGATTTAATGATGGATTTTTTTCTTTTAATTATGTCGGTTATGCATGTTATATTAGTTCTAGAATATCCTCTTGCGCCATTGCATATTGAACATTTTCCTAGAGGCATCTACTTCGGATAAATGGTGCAGGACTGTTAGAATATAATCAAGATTATGAATCTATTATTATCGTTGTTTAGGAGATTTGTGTCTTCTTTATGGAAGAAGTCTTCCTAGTTTGGAGTCTTTTCCAACTCTATATAAGAGAGTGGGTTTATTCGATATTGTAACTATCTTCTATCTAGCTATTCTGTAATAAAACTGTCTGCCATCTGGCCGTTGATTCAGTCATTAGCTCGTAATATATCTTTATTTTTTGAAAATATTGAACACCTATGCTGCAACAATAAATCAAAATAATAAAATCAATCCTCTTATTTCTTCCGGAGAGCCATTTTTCAGAAAAAAAAGGACAACAAAAACTGGATTGTTTTGAATAGTTACTTTCCACATTTTGGTGCTACTTCATTGAAAATGATACCTTAAGAACTAATGTTTTGTCTTTAGTATAACCACAATTAACTACTGATGACGATACAAGTGGACTACGTAGAGATTTTTGCATTACCATGAACTTGTGAATATGATTGTGATGTTGCAATTTACACTCTGAAAATTAAGTCCTGGTGGCTTTTATATTTATAATATGTGCCTAGTGAATTAATATAATTATTTTAATATAAATTCTTGATACATTAAACTGTTCGATTTTGCATTCTTTAGGTACATAGAGATCACAATGCACAGTTGAGTGGTGTAGAAGGGACAGACAATTTGTCGACAGAGGAAATTGAAGAGCGGTTGGAGCAGTTCACAAACGTAATGCAGCACAAGTTCTTATCAGGGAAAGACGAGCAGCACCTTGACTACTCAAGAATCGACGAAGACGAAACCTTAGATGATCACTGGATGAAAGAAGCAAATCAAGATGCCGAGGAAAAGTATTTTGATGATATTTAGCAACATGAACACGTGTACTATCTCAAACTATCATCTTTACTTCATGTAACTATTTACTAGTGTTACGTTTTAGATTTGTTGTCATTTCATATCACCTGCAGTTTATCTTTTATGCCTTACAGATTGAAATTATATATGTACATATGAGTCTAGCAGAACGGCACGATTTTTTTAGCCTTATTAGACGCTGATAATTACGGTTCAGTCTATGTTTCGAACAAAGATGGGAACTTTGAGACATGGTGCAACAAATGATTGAGTAATGTAGAAATCGATATAGTTTATGGGTGTAAAGTGCTTATACAAATATTATAGATTGAGATTGTGACCCAGTGCATTTGGATGGAGGGATTTGAAGGGAGATCACAAATTCATAATAACAAATTCATGAATCAAATCCACACCTCTTCTTCTTTTTTTTTTTTTTTTTTTTTATTGTTTTTGGAGCTATTGACGTGGATATCAAATGACTTCAAATTGGAGTCATTTCAAATCCCTTCCCTAAATCAATTCCCATCCAAATCCCTCCATCCCAACTCACTCTTAGACAGAGTCGAAAAAGCTTGGAGGTCGATAGTTTGTGACCGAGGGACTGGGGCGATAGATTTGATATCAGCTTCAATTTTTTTTGGGTAAATTACAGCCCACTCCGTGAAGTAAGATCAAATTACAAAAACTCCTCTTTTTTGGTAATTACAACCATCCCTCAATTATGAATCTTCTTACATGTCTACCCTTACAGTATTAAATTCAACATGATCATTTAGATTCCATGGAATTTTTTGTAGTTGTTCTCGTTTTGTGCTAAAATGTAGTTCCTGATACACCTCAATCTGATATTTACAAGTCAAGAGACGCATCTTATGATCATCTTGTTTCACAATGTGGAGTTCGGATGAGGGAAAACGGGTACTAACTGGAGAATATCTCACATAATCTAGAAGATTCTACTAAATTTGACACTGTAACAATGGACATGTAAAAAGATTCATAGTTAATGATTGATTGTAATTACTCAAACATAATGATTTTTTTTGTAATTTAATCTTATCTCATAGGTGGTCAAAATTTATCCCTTTTTGTTACACTTACATGCTCACAGTCATTATGTCTTTTATTGAAACCATTTTTTTTTCTTTTTAAAAAAAACCCACATCTTTTTCTAATTTTAATTTTTAATTAAGAAAAAGGGGCACCAAAATTATGTTGATAATTAGAAGGAAAAGAAAATGTAATCTTAATGTATTTATGATGAGGTACTACTATTTTTGTCGATTGGATCAAAAATTATTTTTATTCTATTGTTTTAATTTAAGGGACAATTCATTTTGCACCTTTGAATTGAACTACAAAAAGTACTAAGTACCCCCTCTCTTTTCTGGTCAACCATTAAAATTTGAACTCCATTAGTTTGAGGTTATAATTACATTTGTACTCTTGTGAGTTTAAGATATATTAGTGTTATTTTTATCTTTTTCTTTTTATTTATCTTAAAATCAAATCTTCGCACGTGCCCCAACTCATCGTATTCTTCACTTTGCTTATCCGACGGATGTCATATATATGATTACAATACCGACTCCCCAAAAAAAGGAAATCTCTTCAAAAGTGACAACAAAAGAGCAAACTAATATCTATTTTATTTCTCCAAAATCAACTCCTCCCAAGTGAAAAGAAACGATAATCGAGTGAATTCTAATTTAAGGCACTAAATTGATTCTTGATGCAAAATAATCTTATGAAAACCGAAGAGAAAAATAAAAAATATTATAATAGAGATGATGATGAGAGATGTGGTACCTATTTTATTAACTAAATGAAAATATAAATTAAATATTTTACTATATAAATAGGTTAAAAAGTAAATAAAAACTATTATGGATATTATTTAGTTATCTTTATACATATAAAATATATATATCTTTATACATATAGATACAACAATTAGAGGGGTAAATATGTCAAAAACCATTACTGGGAGAAAGCCAACTTGCCACATCAGCACATCACAAATGGATTGAAAAAAAAAAGGTCATTTCGGTACATTATGTAATTCAGAGGGTATTTGATACGCACCCCATAATTCAGGGGTGTAAAGTGAACTTTCCCTTTTAATTTATTTCAATGTGTATTCTGGAATAATGAAGTTGTGAAGGGAATCCAATATATATATCTATATATATATATATATATATATATATATATATATATATATATATATATATATATATATATATATATATATATATATATATAT